CAAGCCTGGACACAGACACCAGAACAAATACTTGACAAGGAGATGGAGGCTTGGAGTTCCCAGGGGGACACAGCTGGAGACACACAGATCCCACAGTCTGACAGGGAGAAGGTGGTGATAATGGACAACATGCAGTCACCAATACACTGGCCCACGTGGCCACACATGATCTTTACCCCTGACAGTCAGCATGGCCGATGTCCTCTCCTGCCCGCACACACACGAGTACTCCCCGGCATCCTCCATGGCCACCCCACGGATCTCCAGCTCACACATGTTTCCGTCCTGCCTCAGGCTGACTCTGTCTCCAACTCTGAGGGTCGCGGACCCCTTCTTCCACTCCACAGGGGATGCCTTGCTTAACTCGCAGTGTAGCTTTGCCGTGGCCCCTTCCATGGCCTCTTCCTTTCTCAGGCTCTTTGTGAACTTGGCGGGCATGGCTGGGGATGGTCAGAAAGACACAGACACAATCACAGTCTCTGAACACATGGATAAGACAAGACACTAACAGCACAGAAAAGACACAAACCAAACTAGACATGCGCCATGTGCTTGCTGGGTGTGCCAAGCACACACTGTGGGTTGTGGCTTCCCTCAGACTGGCTTATGTACAGCGTGGCCGTGGCCTCTTGACGGTTCATCAAGCCTCATACTTTGTATGACTCTGGCTAGCATGGCTGGAGAGTCGGACACAGAATGGAGAATTGTTGAGGGCAGGACACAGTAGCACAGAGGACAAGACAGACTCCCAGGGACAACAGAACTAGCAGGGACTGAGAGGTCAAAAGTGGCCTGGATGCTGACTTCTCCTGGTTCATACAACCACCCAGGGAAGGGGAGACATTTCACGAAGTAACAGTGGAGGGTGACATCAGAGAATGTGGGAGAGAAAGAACGTGAACATGGAATGAGTGCACATGGACATCTCGAGTCACTTGGACACTAGATCACAGCTCTGCTTGGCCACACACAGTCTTTACCCCTGACGGTCACCGCGGCTGACGTTCTCTCCTGCCCGCACACACACGAGTACTCCCCGGCATCTGCCATGGCCAGGTCACGGATCTCCAGCTCACACACCGTCCCATCCTGTCTCAGGCTCACTCTGTCCCCGGCTCTGAGGGTCTCAGACCCCTTCTTCCACTCCACGGGGACCGCCTTGCTCAGCTCACAGCGCAGCGTGGCCGTGGCCCCTTCCGTGGCCTCTTCCTTCCTCAGGCTCTTTGTGAACTTGGCGGGCAGGGCTGGGGAGAGCCAAGGATCAGGAGGACTCCAGGCTGTCTC